CCTTACCTTAACGAGTACTCTTACTATTGACCATTCACTAGCCATAAACTTTGATCACTGAACGCATTCAAAACTGTAACCACAAAATCGTATCCAATGCAAAAGGTTTGTGGTTATTTCACGATGCGGGCACACACACAGGCGAATGGTCGCCACACTCATCATCATTATCTACCACTATTTCGATCTTCAGACACAGTTCCAAGGGCGTTTAATGAAATCCGACGACAACGACGCAATGGAAGAATGGGATGTCATAAAAATTCAAAGTACAACGAACGACGTCTCCATTGTAATTTTTTTATTTTTATTTCTTAGATGAGTGGACGAGCTCACAGCCCACCTGGTGTTAAGTGGTTACTGGAGCCCATAGACATCTACGACGTAAATGCGCCACCCACCTTGAGATATAAGTTCTAAGGTCTCATGTATAGTTACAACGGCTGCCCCGCCCTTCAAACCGAAACGCATTACTGCTTCACGGCAGAAATAGGCAGGGCGGTGGTACCTACCCGTGTGGACTGACAAGAGGTCCTACCACCAGTAATTACGCTAATTACAATTTTACGGGTCTGATTTTTTTGACTTTCTTCTCTTCGCGTTTAAATTACCGAAAGAATGAAACTTTCTAATAGACTTTTGTCTGGGTAACAACGCGCCCACCGTTGTACAGGGTGACATCATTCTTGGAGCCACGTTTTCGCGTTCCTTATCTATCGGCGTTATCACAACACACAGATAACGAACCTTTCATAGATATCGATGAAGAAATGAGAATGGCTCATTTTCGAATCACGTTATTTATTCGCATGGTTTATTGGCAATAAGGAAAAAATAAATAAAAACCCAAACAGGACCAATTGTTTCTTAAGACAAAATCAATTAATTAATCACTAAAAACCGACTACATAATTTATGCTCGGTACTTACCACTACCTGCGGTTCCTAAAATAGTATAAATCCAAAGTACATACAAGTGAAATGAAAATAGTAAATATAGCAATGGTCTCCACATTTTACGTAAATAATTACTCATTACATATGAAGGGGTGAAAAATATTTATTTGGTTTAAGCGACATTTTTGCAACTTTACAGGAGAGCCGCCATTCATAGTTTAATATTTAGAAAAAATATCAAAAAAAAAACATTTTCAGCTATTTGAATGGGGTGATAACCCTAAGTTCAATTAAAAACATCGAACTGTTGATGCTAATCACTACATAGTATAAAACAAAGTCGCTTTCTCTGTCCCTATGTACCTATGCTTAAATCTTTAAAACTACGCAACGGATTTTGATGCAGTTTTTTTTAATAGATAGAGCAATTGAAGAGGAAGGTTTATATGTATAATAACATCCATTAAATAGTGGAGAAATCAATAATAAATTACAGTTGCCGAAGCGAAGCGAGGGCGGGTCGCTAGTACCAAATAAAACGTACCTTTAATTACAAAGATAAATGTCAAGTATTAAGCGAATTATCGCTTACAACCAAATAGTCTTTCACCCCTCGACATAAATGCATACTAAATCGAGACTTTTAATGTAATAGTATCGAATGTAATAGTAGGATTAGACTTTTAATGTAATAGTAGGATTTATCTCAGCCGAAATCCCAATGCGTCAATTTTAAGGACCGCCCTTTTGTCCTCGACTTTAAAACTTCCTTTAACCCAAACATCCAAATAATTAATAATTAGACGAAGGTATTACATTATAATCGAACACTAAACTCACATAACAGAGATGCCCTAATTAGCATACATTCATCAAGACTGTGTAATAACATAATTAATGTTATACTATCGATAAATTTTGTTAATTATGTCACGATTGTCATCCATCCGTCAATAAACGAAAACGTTTTGTGATCACGCGACACATTAATGTAATTGTAATGTACCAATTTGTTTCTGCCTTATTATTACATACTAGNCATTAATGTAATTGTAATGTACCAATTTGTTTCTGCCTTATTATTACATACTAGAGGTCCCGCAGTAGTCGAAATTCCACTATAATTAATTGGAATTGTAAGTTTGTACATTATTATAATTGTATTTTATACTTCTATAATCGCAAATTTCGCAAAGGCTACTCTATAATTTTTTTTTTAATAAAAACAAAAAATATTTTATCTATTCTCAATTTGACCACAGACGTCAAGAACAAAAGTTTGACATTAAATGTGTGCGTGTGTGCGTCAAATACATGGTATGTAGTGTGTGTAATGTTTTCTTTATTGATTTAATGTATCTTTTATGCATTATTTAAAAAAAATATTAGCTTTGTGCACTTCTTCTCTATATTATCTATAAGTGTGGAAAATTTCATACTCCTCTGTCCGCGCAATTTTCGTAAAAAGGGATACAAAGTTTTTGCTTCACGTATTAATATATAGATGTTATAGTATCACGTCTTAACACATGCCATATCCCATATTTTGATTACTTTAATTATGTAATTTATAACCAAAATTCTTTATTTCTTTTGTAATACTAGCTTTTATTATAGGCATTTCTCGAAAGTTCTGGGTGCTTAGTGCGAGTTTTTAAAGTTCTCGATAGCGTAAAAGTTAGCTCATTGTATGTAATGGGATCGTTTGCGTACGTTTGCCGCTAGGGGCGCTGTTCCAACTGCATACAAAATTGCGTTAACTTTTACGCTATCGAGAACGTTAAGAAACTCGCACCAAGCACACAGACGTGAATTTGTATTTATAAAAAAAACACGAGATTTACACATTCGTGGTCGACTCGAGTGAAAGTTTTTTTATTCTTTCTTCTCTAATTCGTTTTTCAGCCTCTAACCAGTAGTGAATGTTTATTCTTCAAATTTAGTAAACACACTTTCTGAATATTCGCAACGAGTAATGAATTTTAATCTCTTTCTCTACTTTTTCTATCTTCTTTTTTTATATATCCTACCTTTCGCTGGTAGCCTAACAGCTAATCCAGCCAGCATCGGACAGGTAGGCGAGCTCACGGGCTCAACCTGAGAGAATTTGCTAACACTAACCCTAGCAAGAGCAGTGCTTGGCAGGATCTACCGCCGAATCAGAATCTCGACTGAGAAGATCCGGCAAAAAACTCAGTGGACTGTGTCTAAGGGTTAACCATCTCTACATTCTTGGGAGTTTGCGACCCATTTAATGTAAAATGGCCACCCATCGACATTAGCAACGCCATAGGCATTACCGCACCACTGCTTTCAAAAAAAAAAAAGACAACCTTCTGTATATATGATTAAACTTCTAAAGGGATTTTAATCTTGCTCGTGAACAACTGCACTACAAGCATACGATATGTACGTTGTTATCGACAATGGCCAGACCAGACCGGCGGTATTGTACGTCGCAACACCGGATACCAAGGCCCAATTGAGGCCTTTTCACTTGGCCGAAACAAAACAAAAAAAACTCCCGACATCAACTGACGAACCGTAAACACGCCAACCGTGAAATTATTTCGGCGATAATTTTAATTCTTTCGTTCATTAAACATCCAATCTCTGTAATAACGGCAGTTTTTATTTTGTAAAAATCATTCCTAAGTTCTGTTTTCGATCGCAAGTATAACAAACTAGCGGCCCACTCCGGCTTCGCTCGGATCTTTAACAAAAATTTCAACGATATTTGACGTTGTATTATTTTTTTAAATAAAAGAACCCTTATTGCGGCGCAACTATAATAGTTAGACATATGCTGTCGCGACACCTTTGTAAATAATAATGTGTTCTACAAAGTCGTAGTACATTATTTTATTCTATCACCAATAGTTTTTGCAGGGCACGCGATGTAAAGAATTTGTTATAGGTAATTTTTTTACACCTCGGGTTACATTATTTGAGTTTTAGTAAGGATCACAATTATTTTTTCAAAAAAGTCTATTATAGCCTATGTTACTCTGGAATAGTGTAGCTTCCAACAGTGAAAGAATTTTTCAAATCCGTTCACTAGTTTCGGAGCCTATTCAATACAAACAAATCTTTCCTCTTTATAATATTAGTATAGAAGTATAGACAAATGGTAATTGCAACTAAAAAACGCTCATGTATATGTAGTTAGAGCATTAGATAATTTTCGCATTAAAAGTGCACAATTTCCAAAAAGATTAGAAATTGAGTTAATATGCGGAATCATTTGGTATCACCAGTATTTTTCTCATAAATACTGTCAAAAGAGCGTAGTTTAGTTTTTTTTTTTTAATTTACCCTTATTTACGACTACTATTAACAAAATTAATACATCATTTTATCTTACTTTAAAAGACAGATAATGTATCTGGTAAAAAATGAAGAATAAATGTTGCAAAGATGATTAATATTAAAAATATCACAATACATGTTAAACCTTTAAAACACTCTCCTGTAAAATTAGTAAGTTTTGAGATTATACAGTTTTGATGCGAGAAGACGATGTATGTATACATACAAACGCGTCTCGAGCGTGGAAAATGATAAAACCATCAACCGTCTCGACGACCAACGATAAAACTGAGCAAAACACAAACTAACGAAAACAAACATTACACCTAGATATCAAAAAAAAACGAAGGCAACGATTCAACAAGACGAACCAAAACTATATATTTAGTTTGACGGACAAAAATTACGAAGAAAGTAACAACAAAAAAAAAAAAAATACGACACGCGTCTGCAACGAAACGTGGACGTAAAAGGAAGTTGACAACTCGTTTGGCAGCTGAACCTGACGGGACAATGGCGGCATCAGAGCTGTTTAGTGAAAATAAGTTTCCGAGAGGCGTTCGTTCCTTTTACCCGATCAAGGTAAGTGACCTGTTCCGAGGCATTAAATCTCTTAGCGAATAGCCCCGCTCTGCCTGTACACCGTAGTAGATCCACAGAGCTATTAACCGAACCACAGAAGCGCGACGGCAAAACGGTATCGGTCGCGGATACGATCACACCAATAATCACACGATCACTTCACAATTTTTATATTAAAAAGAATACAAAATCCGAAAACACTTTACGCATACACATGTTCGATAGCTCGCATCACAGTAGATAATAATGATTATCAGATACAAAAAAAATATAGACGGAAAACGTCTTTGCTACGCGACGAATCGAGAGGAACTGAGGTGGCAACGGTGCGCAAGCGCCGCCCCGCGCCGATTATCAGCCTTCGGAATGAGGGGGGCGAAGGGGGTGCAAGAAAAAGTCTGCACGTGATATTTAAGATAAGCCGAATACAATCGTGAACCCAATGTTTGTCTATAACAATCATATTGTTTAGTGTTTTTTTTTTAAATATTAATTATTGCTATAGTGCGTTTAAAAGACGAATTGGAAAGTTGTTTATTGTGTCGGTGTGAGGGACCGTTTTATTTGAGATACTTTAATTAACCGGGATAGTTTCATACACACATAACTGTGGTATCAGAAATGCAATTCACAAAACGGGTAACAGATAAAATAATTGTAAATCGATGAAATACACCAGAATGAGTGAAAAACAACGCAATTTCCAAATTTTAACTTTTCGGCGACTCATCTACTACTTTTTTATCTCTAAATAACTTGGCGCAGTTAAATACAATAACTAAACCCCGTTTGCCGTAAATAAATAAATTCAACAAGAGTAGAACCCCTATAACCTGTCAAAAATCTATTCAGTGATTTATTTACCAGTTGACTGGTTGACCTAGCTACTATTGCAAGTCTTTAGAGTGAGGGTCTACCAGTAAGCTTAGTGCGAATTTTTAAACTTCTCGTTCACGTAAAAGTTAACTCAAATCTCTATGCAGTTGGAACAACGCCCTTAGCGGCAAACGTAGGCAAACGTTCCAACTTCATATAAATTTGAGTTAACTTTTACGCTATCGAGAACGTTAAAAAACTCACACTTAAAGCACAGGATTGCTGAACACACACCCGAAAGCATCTATGTCCAATTCAAGTCTATGCCCAAGTTAATCTTAATATTTATGATATTTCTGTTCGTTTAGCGCTGGACGTACTATTGACTGACGATGACTGAACCTTGTTGTCTCAATTGATGCATATTTGAAAAGGGTTGGCGTTCAATCAATATTACGAGTCCTAAGTGACTACAAAGGTACATAACTACATACTCTATAAATGATTTCTGTGCATTGTAAAGTACTTCATGTTTTTGAGTGCTGATTGTGTCGGCGGCACAGCTTTCTTCTTGTGCAAGAAGTTGATGACTAGCATTAGCGAAGTCAAAGTGAAGCTTCGATATCATTTCCAGGATGGGCTGTCTATTGACTACTTTTGTTAACGCGAGGTCGACTGTGAGCGATGATAAACACGTTGTGTATGCTTAGTGCGAGTTTTTTAACGTTCTCGTTAGCGTAAAAGTAACTCAATTTTGTATGCAGTTGGAACAGCGCCTCTAACGGCAAACGTAGGCAAACTTTCCAGTTCCATACAAATTCGAGTTAACTTTTACGCTATCGAGAACGTTAAAAAACTCGCACTGAGCACACAGACAAGCTCAGCGATCTATGTGTATACATATACGAAATGTAAAATCTGTTTACGAGTGCTCACAGTTATACCACAATGCCCGTGATGTTTATAGTTAATGACATAGCACGAAACGCGGTTGTGTTTAAGTAATTTAATTTGCATAAACCAATAAAACTAAACTTTGCACTTTGGCACAACTCTAAAACCAAGCTACAGAACGGAATCATCAGACGGCGTCACGATCCTCAGCAATGAGGGATCGATTAAAGAGAGAGAGAGAGTTGTATATAGACATACTTTATACGACCGGTTCAAAATATTACATTAAATGACTTTTAACTGATCAAGTGATCAAGTATCCAATTTCGCGAATGGAGTTCATCATTCTCCTGCCCTTCTCCCAGTCACCTGGGGTCGGCGCAACATGTTTTCTCCTTCCATACTCCTCTATCATATACCATTTCTTCGCTCACTCCCCTCTTACACATATCGTCTTTAACGCAATCCATCCATTTCTTCTTAGGTCTGCCTCTTCCTCTATATCCTTTCACATTAATAGTTAACACTCTCTTACCAACCTCATTTTCATTTCGTCTCATCACATGTCCATACCATCCCAAACGCGTACTTCTTAACTTCTCTGTCACAGGTGCCACTTTCAGACTTCCTCTAACATATTCATTCCGTATTCTATCCATTCTCGTTACTCCACACATCCATCGCAACATTCGCATCTCTGCTGCATGCAATCGCCTTTCATTCTTCGCAGTTCTTTTACAGAATTTTGGCAATAAAAATCGCCGATGGGAGCGGTAGCAAAAAACTTTGCAAGACTTAACGCAATTTGGGTAAAACGGGTTTGGTTTTTTTTTTCACGGGCACTAAAGCCTCTGCGTCGGAACCGGTTTGCGGGTTTCGCTTCCGGAGAATCGCGCGATCTTGGTCCGTGCATACCCCTTTTTTTCTTGTCCAGTCGCATCAAAATGTTTGGCGCGTATAATTTTTTTTTGTATTGCATATATGGGTGGACGAGCTTACAATCCACTTGTTGTAAAGTGGTTACCGAAGCCCATAGACATCTACAACGTAAATACCGCCAACCACCTTGACATATGAATTGTGTGGTCTCAGAATAGTTACAACGGCTGCCCCACCCTTCAAACCGAAACGCATTACTGCTTCACGGCGGAAATAAGCGGGGCGGTGGTACCTACCCGTGCGGACTCACAAGAGGTCCTACCACCAGTAAGTTGTACAAGTAGACCGCTACATTCACGTTATGATTTTTATGGGCTCCTCCAAGTCAACATCAAATATGCTGAGGAGAGACTGTCTGCGCAACTTGAGCAAAAAAAAAAGAACAAATTCACACAGAAACCGTCCAGAATTACAGTTAGACGAGCTAGCCGCGTGACTCATCGGATCTCGACAGTGCGCACAATGAATCGGTCGAGAGCTTTATCTAGTCCAATGTAATATTGTAACGTTGCTTTCAAATTTACACTCTTATTGCTTTATTCATCTTACCGGTTATTGAAACATACGACGAATCACTCTTTTTTTTCCTTACCTATGCTGATAGCCTTGAGAGACTATGTCAGCTTCGCCCTAACGTGTAAGTGAGCTCACGGGGCTCAAACAGGAGTGTTGCTAACACTGGCCCTAGCAAGAGCAGTGCTTCGCAAAATCTGCCACCGGATCGGAAACGCGACCCACTGAGAAGATCCGGCGAGAAACTCAGTGGGCCGAATCACTCAGTTCAGCATGATTGTGAACAAAATAATTAAACCACGTAAATATTTCCGAATGCTTGGAACCATAAGTCCATAAACACTTATTTTCGATAGGTTTTTTTTCTTATAGTTTCCTACAGGGAGTGTTGCCCGGGGGATTTTTTTTAGAATTCCATCAATGAAGCCGAGTTCAGCCCTAACACCGAAAACGATTGGAAACTTCGACAATGCCCTTTTAAATGTCATTATGACGTACTCTTTGACTAGGATCCTGTGTCCTTTCGCTGTGCTACGACACAAGATTCTTTCCTTCTTAAAAAAAAAGCTATTGTCGACTGTACTTACGTGAAGAAATATAAATAGAAGTCTTCAGAAGAGCTCAACGGTTGGCAGCCCAGATCGGGACCACTGAATGCTATCATTTAACATTCGACCTTCGGTATACCGGTGAAAGATCTTTCCTTTGTCGTTACCAATCTATTACTTTATGGAAGGCAGGATTACTGATGGCCCCAAACCCTTTCCAGTTTTACCAAGACCGGTGGGCGAACGCGGGCTCAACCAGGAGGCCTGTAGCTATTATATAACCGTGCTACACGTTTGTACCACACGCTTCAATCTGTGCAACGCAGACGTCGAAATGCAATAGTTGCGACGGCGCAATGCGTGAGTCACACGGTCGCCAGAGGTACGGCGACCGACCGTGTAATTTATTCAAACATTTACATTACATTACACACACACACAGTGCGCTGTTGTAACTGGTGTAACTATCCAACGGTCGGCCTTTCGACGTTCTGTAGGTGTGCTTAGTGAGAGTTTTTTAACGTTCTCGATAGCGTTAAAGTTAACTCAAATTTGTATGCAGTTGGAACAGCGCCCCTAGCAGCAAACGTAGGCAAACGTTCCAACACCATATTTACCGCGAATTGGCAAACGTAGTGGAGGACACCCTCAGTTTCGATTGGGTGGCGATCTATGCAGGGTGGCTGTCTCGAGCTGGATGAGATAAGCCGAGGATCGTGCTCGGTGGAGTGCAATTGTAGAGGCCTCTGTCCAGCACTCGACTGCTATAGGGTGATGATACATGTAGAATAGAGATCGCAGCGCATAAAATAAAACGTCCACTGTTCCAAAATCTTCTGTTATAAAAATTAATTAACACTTTTATTAGGCCTTGCTGATTTTTTTACCGTCTTCGCCATCTTTCTTTTTCTCTGTCATTCTCTTTTCCCTTTCTTTCCGTTTTCTCTCACTCACATCTTAACGCTCCGTTCCACAATCTTTTCATACGTTCCGCTCTTACCAATCCTACATACATTATACGTAATCGCTTATACTGAAATCGCTTTTATTCTAGATCTTTTATTTTTAGCGAAATTTTTACTCAGTCTGGACCACGAAAACCAAAATATTTGAAACGAAGCAAATAAAAAAATGACGTAAAAATAAAGCCATAAAATTAGCATTAATCATTTACTCAATTACGAATTTAGATATTTTTTTCATCACACCGAAAGCTTGTTGCCCGAAAATTTTAAAATTATTGAAATAACTCTAGACATCGTCATAGCTTCTTACATAATTTTTGTACTACAAAAATTTACGAATAATCATCAGATACAGAAGTAAATAGTGGAAACCCTTTTAAAAAACATCAAATCAACAATGCTCATAAAAAGAAAAAAGAAAAATTACAATAAAAAACAAATTAATCTTTTTCAAAGCTCTGCTTTAATTGAAATCAATAGTCGTGTCATCTGATTGTCAACCAATTTTACACCGTATTCCGTAAACTTAAGACATGTCGTTCAATAGTAACAATGGACTACCTACTTGTAAAAGTTCACAGACCCACCTATATACAAACGTGGGTTTCAA